CGCCATTGATGGCGAATCCCTTCGTTAGAACCGCAGGACAATTGATGTTCACCTGGAGTCTGGTGGGAATAGAGTTGGAGACACTGACCTCGTATGACAGGTTGAAGTTGGGAAGCAAGAAGCTAGAAGTGTATCAAGCACTGATGCAGCACGTGGCCAGGGATAATTCAGGCTTGAGCCTGGCTAGGAGGAAGGATGCCACATGTTTCTTGAGATGGATAATGTCAATGATGTCTGATAGCACCATCTTGGCGTGCTACCAAAGAGCAAGCGGAAAAAGAACCGTGGAAAAGAGAGTCTCAACGATCATCTTAAACGTATATCAGAGTACTGGAATAGAAAAGGAAGATGGTTCCAGACTATCCCTAGAGAACCACAGAAAGCTGGACGAGGTGCGGAGGTTTTACAATAAGAAGTTCGAAGAAGAACATGATGCTCACCGTAACCTGGCCTCGCGAGAGCAGTACTCGAGACTCAGTGAGAAGGGGGAATACCAATACGTGTCGGGAGTGATGGGGATAGCCTACAACCCCTTCTTAGACTCAGAAACTGGAGGCGCTCACAGGAACCACGAGGTAGCGGAGCTGCTGAAGTTTTGGACAGAAAAAATAGTGGAAATAGACGCGGTGGAGAAAGAGAGGCCGAGCCTGGGCCTGATTCTTGAGAAAACACCGGAGGTGGTGAGCATACCGCGCTCGAACAAGAGAGTTGAAGTGAACATGGGTGATGGCAATGGCTTGTTGATCACGAACTTGGGAGTGGTATGGAAGTTACTAAGACCCTCCTGGTGCCCACATCCCCACGCGAGTCTGATCGAGGAGACCACCGAGCGGGTGAGGTTAGCTCCAACGGAAGATGAAGATTTGGCAAAGTTGAGTGTGGTGCACAAACTGATCTTACCTCAGATGAAGGAGTCAGGCGAAAAGACGAACAATCTCGAGTCAGCAAAGAAAATGGAGCCGGGTAGCTGTCTGGATTCTACGTGTGGGAGTGGAGAGCACACCTGCGATGGACGATCATGTGTCAGGATACTGTCCTTTCAAAAAGAAGATCTGGTTACTTGGTTTGAAGACATCACGGAAAGGGAGAAAAGTGAAGTACAAATAGTGGCGGAGTGTTACGCGAGAACTACGGTGAACATAGCGACAACTCTCGGATTCTTCTCGAGAATGTGTAGTCTGCAGTCACTGGAGAGGCTAGAGTCTGAACACCATTTAGTGACTGCGTTGAGCGTGGAATCATGGCCTGGGGTGTTGCAGGTGACTCAAAAACATATCCGGAGCTGGAAGGTTGGTCTCGAGGCGGAAATGGGGTTTCCCATGAGCGAAGCTTATGGCCTGCCATTAAACGCAAAATCCCTGATAGGGTCAATGATGGCCAGTTTGTGCGGAAGCCACTACCCACTGCACATGGCGATGGTGGAAGCATCCAGCCAGAGAGTATTGGTGGACAAGGCCTTCTCAGTGCCCAAGTGCGTGAGGTTGGCTCGGGTATCGCATCACTCGCACAAGTTGTTGAGGAAAATCAGAGGGACAGTACCGAAAGAGTTGAGAGATGACTTGAGTGAAATCTGGGGAGAAGAGCTCTTGAAATTGGAAAGTGAGATTACAAGCGGTCACGAGAGACAAAACGTGATCGGGAAACCTGTGGGGGGTGCTCCAAACATGGGAGAGAACGACACGATGCATGAGAAAATGATGGAGCTTGAGCCTCTCTTGGAAGCCTCGGGGGAGCGTAACCTCAGGAGCATTGAAATCACCCATGGAGAATGCCCATGCCACTGTTTGGCACAAACGGTGTGGTATCCAGATCACAAAAACCTCTGTCTGGTGTGGGATATGGAAGAAATTCGGTCGATCGGATTACCGGATCAACGGCAGAAGGTGACGCTCTTAGTAGTGAGTACGATGCTGGCTCTGAGATGGATAGAAGAGAATATAACGAAGTATCGGGAAGCGAAGACGCCAACGGCTGAGTCAATATATGCGATAGACTACAGCAGGAGACTCGAGTTGTTTGAGACTGCATGCAAAGTGTTCGCCATACCAATGGAAGTCAGACACGTATGGAGCCGCTTGAGGTATTCTCCATGGTTTCGAGCGACACTGACGCCTTGGTTATACATGACAACGAAAGATCACATGAGAAAGCATCAAAAGGAGTATCGACAGTTCCAGGCCGAGATTGGGCCGGAAGCTTTCAAGAGACCCCTGTTAACCCATAAAAATGCAATCACGACAGGATGGAAAAGAGTGGGTAAAATGTCTAGAGACAATACCAAAGCGAGGGAATCGATACTAGAGGAGGACTTGGCAAAGAACGTGAGCCTGAGCCAGCACAACTCCTTTTGTTTGAACCGGGAATCTAGGGTGATGGCACTACCCAATCAGGCAAAGAGGTTGCAGGAGCAAAGGGAATGGATGCGATCCTATGAACAGCTGAAGGCTTGGGAGGAGATCGTGATTAGCTCCGATGATGAAGAAGAACTGTTGAGACAATTTGCCGTATCCAGTACTTCAGGGGACGGCACCTCCAAGGCGAAGAGTGCGAAATGAGCGGATGGTTCAAAGAGATCTTGAGTCTTGAGAGGGAAGGGGGGCTTGAGTGTGAATCCGGATGAAACCCGGGTTCACGAAAAAGAAATTTTAACGAATCAGATATTGTTATTAATATGTTATATTTACTATATAAATCAAAATGCTGCATGACAATTTCCTGATTAAATGGGACAAAAGAAATTTTAAATAATTGGCTTGAAAAGCGAGAACTCAAGGGTGCAGGTGTGTGCAGATTTTGATTGCTGTTTAGCGATAGTGTGAAAATTTTACATGGCCGTGAATTTTGGGTTGTAGATAAGCTTAAGTCTGCTGCAAACTTCTGTAAATGACCACTGGCACTGTACCTTGAGCAACACTCGGTTTTCTGGGACTCACTGGCAGACGACAGCAGGCGATGAGGACATCGATCTTGAGTCCGGGGAGTATGTGCCAGTCGGTCATATTTGGAAGTTTGACCTTGAGAAAAACAAGAACGCTTAATTTTGGAGTGAAATTCGATTTTTCAAAAATTCGAATGGAGCCTGTCATGCACGATTTTCTCGCGATAACTGAAAACCGAAAAAAAGAAATCAGAACGATCGAGTAACAATCGCGGGAAAGTTGCCAGATAAAGCAGTAGGAAATTGCCATTCGCAATTTCCGTCACAATAAAACTAGAGTAGAGCTGTCCTATCTGAAACAGAAGGAAGCGTATTCCCGAGAATTGGACTATTATTGCTCGACTGGATTATCATTCAAACTGGACTAGAGTGATCCTTCGATGGAAAGGTGGACAGCTTGAGTGTCCCAATGGTTCGCGAGAAACTATACTCTAGAGTTCAAACTTGTTCCTGTTATTGAAACTAACAAACATTAAACTCATTTAGTTACATTATTTAAATCTCGAGTTGTTTACTAAATTAATTACTCCCAGTTCTTGAGCGTGCTACAATGTGAGTACTCAATTTAAATTTCTAGAGTGTGTTTTATGATTGTTATGTTGAGGTAAGGCGAGTTTTAGGTTGATCCATCTGAAATGGATCAAAGTTCCACTGTCTAATAAAAAGTAACTTAACGGATTGTTCCGACCCGGTTTTTAACGGCGTTCATGTATTTTGGGTATCTAGAGACCTAAGTATGGGGACGTTCTTATTTCTAGAGTGGGGGGATATTTTGGTAGTAGCCTTTAAGCTGTAACGGGTCGTAGTCTCATGTCACAAGCGAACCGAATTGGCTCCGATTGATTTGAGGTAGAATAACACAAGTGATAGTGTCCCTGACTCTTGAGCCAATGGTTATAGGGCCTATTTTTCTTAAGCCTCATGTGTGACTACAGTAGACGAATGTTACACCTTTCCCTTAACTCCTAGCTTCTCATCGTCAGAAAGTGAATTCAGATGTTAAATAAATTCAATTCAGGACATAATCGGGAAGCTAAAACTTTGTATAAAATGATCTAAGTTCCAGTCCCGAGATCACTCCGGATTTTTGAATCCAGGGAACTAACACCCTTATTTCCTCCCCGGAAGGCATGTTTCCACCCTTCACCGTTGTTGTGAATGGCCTTGCAACGATTGTAGCGACACAATCGTTGCAACTCGGAGCAGTCTCTGCTAACTCTGCTGTTCGTTCAATTCTCGTTGTTGTTTTTTGTCGCGATTATCGTTGTAGTCACCGTCGCAACTATTGTTGTTCTGTTTTTTTGGACTTCTTCCAAAATGGCCGATTTTGACGTTTCTCAGAAATATGACGTCATCGTTCGAAATTTTAAAAATTTAAAATACCAGAATACTCTAGCCTTCCCGATTCGTTCAATCGTCGGAATAACACCGTTAATCCTCTAAAACTGCCAATTCGGAAGTTTAGCTGCTAGCCCTTCGTAACCGTCTTTTTGTCAAATCTTGTCGAATGTCACAGACTTAAGTAGGCGACTGTTACAAAAAACAATATTAATATAATAAATAGTTGTAGCCCTGTTTTTAGGAGTGACCTCGTGGTCTGGGATACTGAGACCCAGCCATGAGCACACTATTCTTGCATATAGTTAAGTTAATTTGTGTGTTTTGACCGAAGCCGAAAGCAGTAACGTTTTTGTCGACCCGACGTTATGAAAACCACCAAAAGAACTGGCTTTGGCAGAGACGGTGAAACGCATGTAGAGCTGTGTTTAGACGCTAGCCAGTCGTTTTAGAACCTAGCTTTATTTTCCGTCGATACGTACTTCCGTGCGAATGTTACATCGACCATACTTGCTAGGAGTTGATTTTTGTTATCCTTTTCGTATTTCAAACTGTATCGTTAATTTGGTTAACACTTGCAAAACGTTAAATGGTTCAATTTGGAATTCAAATGTTTTTTTTTGTCAATGATGTTTTCACATTATTAGCTGGTTAACAACTGAATCAGCCTCAGATCTCGCAATCAATATAATAGAACTTCAATTAGTGAAATGAAGTTTTTTGCAGTTGGAAATGGTCACAGAGGAGGAAAATAACCCTAAGCCACGTTTGATAATTCTCAAACTTATTCTAGAAAACTTCAAATCCTACGGAGGGACAGTGGAGTTGGGTCCTTTTCACAAGGTAATTTGGCCGACATACTTTTCTGATTACCATTGCGATAAGCAAGGATGTTTTAACCGGATACCAGGCTTTTCCCGGTAAATAATTTGATTCACAGGATGACTGAAATTTGTGGGTCATCTCTCTAACTCTAACTTCCACTAACAGATTCGAATTTTGGGTCAAAAATATACCAATTCCTATAGCTTTTTGATAATTTTTGTTTAATTTGTTTTTGCTTTAGTGGACTTAAAATGTTTCGGCTTTTAATTTTCCCTCGATCAAGCAGATATCTAGGAGTTTTCTTGGAGCACGATTTAAGCTTTCCCGTGCAAGTTAACAAAATTCTATGTGAAATGGCTCAAGTAATCCGTTGACTATGTCGTATCGGGAACGTAGCACTTTTAAATGTTTGGAAACTCTAACTACATAATATTCCAGTTTGGGTTTGTTGCTAAGTAAGTTATTCGAACCCGAAGAAGGATGAGTTCTATTTTTTTTTCAGGGCTAGGGCTAAAGTTCAAAATTATATGCAAAATGGCTCAAGTAAGCTGTTAACTATGTCGTATCGGGAACGTAGCACTTTTAAATGTTTGGAAACTCTAACTACATAATATTGCAGTTTGGGTTTGTTCCTAAGTAAATTATTCGAAGCCGAAGAAGTATGAGTTCTATTTTTTTTTCTGAAGTTACGGCTATACGAAACTTCTTCACATATTGGCTACATTAAGGTCATTGATTTCAATCCAAAAGATAGCTCTCCACAAACAAGGGGCGTGTCGATTCTCACTGAAGAGTCCATTATACAAATCAGTTCTGAGGTAGACTACTATTCTGTTTTACCTGTGTTGGAGCAAGCAAAGCACATTTTAAATGAAAGATAATTTGTTCACATTTGAACTCAATTAAACACGCTGGATAATTTTTCCGTAATTTATTCCATTAATTTACCCATAAGTTGTAGTTACTAAATCGTCGTTAATTCAATTATCATACAATACAGTCGCTCTCCAGCTATCGCGAGGTATTCATTCTGATCCGCCTCATAACCTAAGGAAACTAAGCACACTGGCTGAGCCTTCTGTAGAAAGTCAATCTCCATCAGCTATGGAGAAGCTTGAGCGAGCTCAAAGAAGTTGTCTACGAGTTCTGGAACGGCAAGTCAGCGACCTTGGTGCTAACCTCGATCGCAACCAAGACGAGTTGAGCGATGAAACAACCGAGCTTGATCATTGCGTGGCTCAATCCTCAGTAGAATTTGTGTGAGGGGGGAGGGGGTGTGGTGGCGGTCCTCAATGTATTAAGATAGGCTACAGATTTTTGGTACCGCCAGCTATGTAGTAAGATAGGGAATACATTTCCTATGTATTAAGATAGGTTATGGGTTTTGCCATGTATTAAGCTACGAGGTTTGAGATGGTAAATTTCCAAAACTTTTTGGCGCCCGAAATTTCCATGTTTTAAGATCCTCTACATCAATGTATAAGAGCCTAAGTGTTAAGATATGATTTTACTAGTGTTCTAACCATTTGAATTTTTGTTTATACTGTTTGAAACTATGCTGAAACCTAACTGAAAAAAAGTTGAATTAGTGTAAGCTGTTAAATTAGTTGAATTTGTTTTTGGAAATTCATACTTACTTCAAATTTTTGAGCAAAAAATTAATGTTTTTTTAAAGTTTTTATACAATGTAAGCGTAAAAGAAAATCAGAATAAATATAATTTATTTGCTGTTTCTTCAAAATTAACCAACCCTATTTTAAATTAACCAGTCAGAAGTGAGCTTTATTGAAAAGTGTTTGTGTCTTTTCTAGCATTTTTGGAACATGTCTATCAAAAAACACTTGAGTGACTTTACAGTATTTTTGGCCCGAATGGACATCCCAATCCAAGTCTGGCACGTGGTGAAACTGATGCGAAGGGATTTCAACGAGCATCATATGATGCTAGTAAATCATTCTTGTTTTTACTCTGTATCTTTTACTCAACTTTTTACTCAAAATGATCTTCTCAGTGCAAAACAGCAACCTTGTACTCTGTAAAATTTTCGCCTGATCTAGTACAAATACAAATGCGAGAAACATTCTCTGAAGTATTTCTGGCCCGAATGGACATCCCAATCCAAGTCTGGCACGTGGTGAAACTGATGCGAAGGGATATCAACGAGCATCATATGATGCTAGTACCCATACCAGATATTTAACTTGGATCAATGCAAATGATGCAGGAAGTGTCTGAGCATGTTGGAATGGAGTACCCCGAGATTACTGACTCTGGATATGTCGCTCAGCCAGTCGACGACTTCCTCTTTCCTTGGGAAGAGGAGATGGGATCAACTGAAAACCCCATCACACTAGATGAAGATGAGGGCTTCTCAGAAACAATGACGCCTCAAAACACTACTCTACAACAACCACCAGCAATAAAACCTCGTCCTGCTCTGCATTCTATAGAGAACGTTCAGAACTCTTCGGCTGCTTGATAGCCCTTTGATTTTTTTTAAAATAATTTTTGTTTGATATTTATTTCGTTCTTTGTAATTAAATAGTTTCTTCAATTTGATTTTAATTATGAGAATAGATGAAAAGTTCAGGGTGAACGATTCCAGTTAATTGAAAAACATTCAGAATACAACTTAATTTAGCCCATCTACTTTGCACAAAAATTTATCAATTTTTGGACATGAAAATAAATTTGCATATACTTAAAAAATACCTGATGGTTTTTTTTCATCGCGTCAGGAAACTTAAAGGTGATTCAAATCGTGTCAAAAAAACTGATACACTTTTTGAATTTTGCAGAAAAAGCGAAACACTTCGCTTTTTGTAGAAAATTGTGAAACTTTGTTAACATCTTGTTAAAAAAAGTTGAAACACTTTTCGCATTTTGTAGAAAAGGAAGAAACACTTTTGACATCTTGTTAAAAAACATGAAATACTTTTTGCATATAGTAGAAAAAAAAATAAATCATTTCTCGCAACTTGTTCAAAACGTTTTTTGAAGCTTGGTGAAAATCAGTAGAAAATTTTGCATCTCCTTAACAAATTTGAAGTGGTTTTCGAAACTTCTTAAAAAACTGACTTTTTTTCTTTTCATCTAAAATTTTTTGTAATTTCGTAAAAAATACTATCAAATTTTTTGAAATAAATTTTGACGGAAAAACTGACATGATCACTATTTACAAACTCATAACCATCAATGAAACAGTCAATTATTTTAACAAATCGGGTTCATATTTTGAGTTTTGCACTTTACGAATTCTTTCCAGAAATGCTGAAACATCACTTTGTGTGGAAGCTAGATTCTGGTAAGAAATTAAATAATGACATTTGATATTTTTGCGTAAGTTTTCTAGTGCAATATTTGGCATTTTGTCTGCTCCTTTCCATTTCAAATTGCGACGAAGACCGCGATTAATTTGGTTGAAACTTCGCCAGTTGATGAATTAACATTCGAATAAAATCTATAGTTGTACAAAGTGTAAAGACGATCGATAATTTAGTGTGAAATAAAAAATTTACCCAATCGTTGTAGAATCTGTTCGACAGGTGAACCAATCAGAAGTATGTGGAACTTACAATTTTCCGGAAAACCGTAAGAATTGTGGGTAGAGACACAATAGTTATGGGTTATTATTTTTTTTCTTAAAAGTAACTGGAAACGGAAATAAGTAGCGATTTTTTACAATTTTATAAAAGCTGGAAAGAGCTTGAGACATAGCAGCAGTCATCTGGAACAATGGTTTTTGCGGAGAATTGTGGATTTAAATAGGAACACAAACACCTTCCCAATTCATTATTTGGTAACTTCACTCAAAAATTCATTTGCAAATCTTCTTCATTTTATAGTTAATTGAATGACTCATATTGTTCACTTCCATTTTCATTTAATTTTCAAATCATTTCTCTCATTTCTCCTCACCTGATTAGTCTGTTACCCTATTGAAAAATGCACTCAAGAAAAAACACTAGTCCCCATTAATATGAATTTTCAAAAAACAAAACAAGAATTGGAAGATTTGCCTGTCCCAAAATCTATACAAGGGTAAAATTTGCTTTAAACCCTGCTTTCATCTATTCAAGAAAAATGAGTTGGGATAGCTCTAAAAACGACAGCAAGTCTATTTTGGTGAAAAAGAAGAAGCAATCGCAGCCTTTACAAATACTGTTATTCACGATGCTGAAAACCTTGGACTCATTCCTATATTGGTACTCAATTCTGACAAAGAGTCAACTATGGATCGGGAGCTTGCCAACTTCACAAATTGTATGACATAACAACTTACAATAGAAGAAAAGTTTGTGTCACGGTCAAGAAGTACAATGTTAACAAGCCTCCGTGCATTCAGATTCGACTCTTCATTGCAAAAGAGACTGAAGCAATGAAACAAGTTGCCTATGTCAACTATAATTGGAACGAATTCAAAGAACTGCTCCAAAGTTTGATAGACTACATGTTTGATGAGAACTGTAATATACAATAAATTGTGTTTTTTTATTTTTTGTTGTCTTGTAATTTAATTACTTCTCTTCCAAAATTGTTTTTTAATTACTTTTCGAGTCAAACAGTATGATTTTGTTCTGCAAGAAAAGTACCAAAAAATTTCGCTATCTGTTATCAGTAGTAGAGAGTGAGGAGAAGGGGGGTTGGAGACCCTCATGCATTATGATAGGGAATAGAGCATCCGGTCTTCAAGCTATGTAATAAGATAGGGAATAGATTTCCTATGTATTAAGATAGGGAATATGTTTCCTAATGTATTAAGATGGTAAGGTTTCAGATGGTAAGTTTCGGAAAAAGTTTGTGGCGCCCAATTTTTTAGATCTCGATTTTGTTGATACTTGCAATTTTTAGCTAACTTCTACGATTTGTGATATGTAAGGGCTATCTTGTCTGACAAAACTTCGGTACGGTAAGTTTCAGATGGTAGGTTTCAGAAAAGTTGTACTTCCAAATACATTTTTATCTTGAGAAACTTTTTTTATCTTGAAAAATTGAAAAAAAAATGTATTTAGGATGAT